AGAAAAAACTAGCAAAGAAGCAATTTGTAAATTTTGCGGCGTGTTGGTGAAATTGGGAGGTGGCACATCGAATTTAAAAGGTCACCTTCAACGCAACCACCCCGGATGGGACAACAGCAATAATAAATGCAGTGACCCAGAAGTACAAAATTTAGAAACTTCCAGCAGCGAAACTGAAATAATTTCATCCTTCACTGCATCTTCCACGTCTAGTCAACCATCAATTATTGATGCTTTTGATAAGCAAAACCAATTCAAAAGTAAATAGCTAATTTCTTTTTCGGACTATAAGCAAGTTAAATACTTTAAATTACCTTGTACAGGCGGAGGAAGTAAAGAAACAATTCTGACACAATCCTTAATTTATATGATTTGTAAGGACAACCTTCCATTTAGCTGCACTGAAAAAACAGGCATGAAAAAGTTCCTTAAGGTCGCTGTACCTCGCTACAAACCGCCAAGCCGGGCAACTGTATGTATAATGTTATAGAAGGAATAAAAAATTAATTTACTTTAAAAATTTGTATCCCTATAGATTGTGAGACTTATTGAAGGGAAATACGAGTCCTTACACTTAGTCGTTTGTGGTGCTTTAAAAAATTTAAGTTCACTGGCCCTTACAACTGATATTGCCACAGTCATGAACTCCACTCGGAGTTTTATTGTGTTGACTGGACACTATTTTGGTAAGCAAAAGTAAATTTAACGTTGGTTGTTTCTTTTAAGATTCCTTTAATTTTGCAGACGAAAAAGCGTGCAGCGTGAAATCTCTGGTTTTTGGTTTAAAAGAGCTTACTCCTCATCATACTGCAAGAAACATATGCCTCGACCTAAAGGAAATCTTTGATCATTGGAACATTGAACCCCGCATTGTTACATCAGTAACAACTGACAATGGTGCAAACATTGTTGCCGCTGTTAAGGATCTTTTTCCTTCAAGATCAAATAGCATTCATGTGTCCTGCTATGCCCACAATATTAATTTGGTGGTCTCCAAAGGATTGGGCGCTGTTAAAGAGCTGGTAGCTATAATAGAAAAAGTGAAGCTTATTGTGGCATTCTTCAAGCATAGCAATGTAGCTCAAGATCAGTTGAGGCAAGAGCAAGAAAAAGACGGTAGAAAAGATGGTACATTCTTGTATTTAATTCAGGAAGTCTCGACGCGTTGGAACTCCACTTTGCACTGTCTTCAAAAATTTAAGGAATTATCAGGCTATGTTGCAAAAATTTTAGCAAATTTTGTCTCAAAAAAGGCACCATCTATGATTACTTCGTCTGAGCTTGCAATCATTGGCGAATGTATTGCACTTTTATTGCCATTAGAAAATGCAACAAACGATATATCAGGGGACAGTTATGTTTCGGCTAGTTTGGTAATACCATTCACACATTGCTTACAGCTGTCACTGACGAAAATATGTGCCACTTATACAGAAACCATACAACTGAAAGATGTACTGCTACAGCAGGTAAAATGTCGGCTACTGCCATTAGAAAGCAATATACTGCTCGCCACTGCCACTGTTCTTGACCCTAGGTTTAAGAAAACCCATTTTCAATCGCCGATAAATTGTGCAAATGCAATTGATTTTATTAAAAAGGAAATTGAACAGCGAACAGCTAAAGTTGGAAATACTTCTCCAGTTCTTCATAGCAGATCTGACACCTCCGAACCTAAGGGCTATAGCTTGTGGGATGTCCACGATGAATTTTCGACTCAAAATAACATCGGTTTTAACGACGGTAACAGTTTCCCAATGGAACTAAAATTTTATTTAAGTCAGCCAATTTCACCTCGTTATCAGGACTCTATTAAGTACTGGGCTAGTACCCGAAGTGTATTTCCTACGATTTATCCAATCGCAATGAAATACTTGACTGTTTGCGCCGCTTCAGTTGCATCTGAAAGGGTTGTGTCCACCTTAAATAATGTATGCTCCGACAAGAGAAGCCGCCTTACTCCCAATCATGCCAATAACCTCGTATTTTTAGGATCACTTAACGACGAATTTTGGAATATTTAAAGTAATCTAAAGGTTTTTGAAAGATTACAGTGATTTAGTATATTTAAAATGCGTACATGTACACGTGTACATAATTGCATCCGTTTATAAAAGATCTCTGTGCGTAGCACCTATATTGATATGTATCTACACATGCCCTGACTCACAAACTTTAGTGTACGTGTGTGTAATTACATATGTATGTGTTTATCTTATGTTTTTATTACAAAAAGTTTTTGTTTTTGAAGTGAAGTTTGTTTTTGCTTAAATATGCCAAACGCTTTATTATATTTCTTATTTTTTGGAAATGAAGTTGTTATACAAAATAAAGCAAAAATATTGTTTTAATTGATTTGCGTTGCACAACAGTAAGTAAATTTTAAAGAAGAAAATATACATATAGGCGAAGTGAAAATTAAGATTAATTCGATATCGACTTTTTTTTTCTTTTTTCAGTGTTTTTATAATTCGGTTTTTTTTTTTCGGTAAACCGAAAGATCAGGTTTTTAATCCAGTTTTTTTAAACGGTTTAAAACCTGAATGAAAAACCGTAATTAATCAAAAAACCGATTTTTTGAAAACGGTGCCCATCCCTAATTCACACGGCATCACACGGAGTAAACAAAAAAATTGTTCTGTTTTTTATAAACAAATCGCATTTCTGGCTGGTCTGTTTCAGGACGAATGGGTAAGAATTGCTCCAAGGGCTTGTGTGAGCAAACCAAGTTTTGGCAGCCAATGTCAGTTACGCGGTTTTGCAGAATTTCGATACGCGGTTTTGTACTTCAATCGACGATATATGTATATCCCCCTTTTACAAACTCATTTATATATACTTTACTCTGAACACCTCCCATAGATACCTATTTCTGAATACCAAATTTAAAGTTCATGTGACTTATGGTTCCCAATTAATGGCTGATTAAAAAATCCACGCCTACGGGATGTGCCACGCCCCTTTTACAAAATGATTATATATACCCTCCTATAAAAACCTACCATTAATATGTCTGCACACCAAATTTCAAGTTCGTGCGACTTATGGTTTCGAAGTTATAGCTGATAAAGGATTCCACGCCTATAGTATGTGCCAAGCCCCCTTTTACAAACTCATTTATATATACCCTCCTATAAATACCTACCATTGATATGTCTGCATATTAAATTTCAAGTTCGAGGGACTTATGGCTCCGAAGTTATAGATGATTTAAAAATCCACGCCTATGGGATGCGCCACTCCCCCTTTTACAAACTCATTTATATAGACCTTATTATAAGCACCTACCAAATATGAATATGACTGCATACCAAATGTCAA